CGAGGGGGCAGCCGTCTCGCCGGATTACCAATTTGGATCGCTTCTAGATGTAGATTCTAAAAACGATCATATTCGGAGTGAAGGACTTGAAGTGATCTGGGATGATTATTTTCGAGGTATGCGACCCCACTCGAAACGGTATTAACTCCGGTACCGACTTGTACTTGCGCGCAGCACCGAGACAAAACTGCTCCTAAGCACCGAGAGCCGACTGTTGCTGCACGAGCGCTCCGCAGCAGAGACTCGGTCCGGACAGACAGATGAAGAGCAACCTGGCGTTTCCTTTCGAACAAAGACATCGCGCCAGAATCTTCGGCGAAGTTGACTGAAGACAGGACAAAGCAGCCTTTGCAGAGTTCGGCGAGCACGCAGTCGTGCCGTGGTCGATCTTAAACGCAGTCCTTGCACCGACATCCACAGATTATAGCAGCTGAACCAGGAACGACAAAGCTCCAATGAGAAACATATCGCGACGCCTTCCGCCGCCAACGCCCGATGCACACATGAATAATATCTTTGCGTAGACTTCCGGTAGCCCGTGCACTTGCGGCAAGCATGCTTCCTTTTTTGGGCTGTAGGCTACAGTCATTGTCGACATGAAGCGGTGCTTGCTGTAGATCTAGTAGACGATCTTCTTTAGATCTTTGTTACTGGCGCAATCTCCGGACGTGTAGATGTAGTACTTGATTGTTGAATGCTTTCTTGATGATGCAACATTTGTACACAGTGTACCACCGTACTAGTCTTCACCGTAAGTACACGATCGATCGAAGCGGTCGGTGGCACAGTGCTGCCCACGCGCGCCTTGTTGCCCGTTCATTTTAGGTTGACGAGCTAGTCTTGAAGTGGTCAGAGGTTGACAGTCGCTGGTGCACGCCACCTTAGACATCGGCGCCACGGCCAAAGTGGTAGACCTCGTTGGCACTGGAGTCAAGACACCGAAGAGCCGTGAGGGCGAAAGCGTTGCCAGCCAGAGCTTTGCAGTCGTGTCGAAGACAGCTCACCTTCGCAGCAGGAATTACTGGCTGGAACATACACCGACACGACAGCTCGGAGTGAGCCGCGTCCAGGCTTGGCCTAGCTGTCGTTTGAGTACTCCCGGGTCCAAAAGGGACTTCCTCTAACCAAACTATCAATCGCCTTCGAGGCCTGGACCAGTGAAAACCCATAGGCCAAGTTGAGCCAGCGTTGAGGAGACCCAGCACGTTGACCATCTGAATTTCGCCAACGCCGAAGGGTTCATGGGCCGGCAGGTTGGGCAACGCCTCGACCACACGGCGTCGTTAGATCGCTCGAACAAAGTAGTTTCGTGTCGATGAAAGACGAGGATTCCACGACACGATCCAAGATAGGGATCCACAGGGACGCATCCTGCCCTTACCGTCGCCCCCACACGCTTGGCTTGTGCTGGAGTAGGTGAATGGTACGAGTGAGAGACGACACTGAGAGAGCGACGGGGTGCCCGCAGGTCCCAGCAACCTCGTAAAATGGATACTGCTGAGAAACGTTACGAACTTCGACAATGGGTGCCAATCATTATTACGAAACTTAAACTTCAAGAATGGTTTAATAATGGGTGCCAATCATTATTACGAACCTCAAACGAGGG